GATTTCTTGCTTCTGCCACAAATTCCCCCAGCTGTGAACCTTCCAACCTTCTAAATATTCCTTTATATGTGGTTCAGAATTCTGGGACCATCCCCTGAGCCTGCTTGGTCGGGTATTCTGTGTTGTTGTTGGCGGAGCTCTCTGCTATACGTCCACCCGATCCGCCATCTTGTTTGTTCCCCCAGTTCATTTTTGACAACTTACAATTTTTCTAGATTTCATATTTCTTTCATTCCATGTTCTGATTATTAATGGATGTTTACAGCTGTTTCCTTTTCATGTTGAGATGTGCCCCATCAGCAAATGAAGGTCCTGAAAGCTATACTGCATTCGCATCATCATGGGCAACTCTACTTTGAGGAAGCAGCTCTTTCCCAGTCATATTTTGAATGCCTTCCAACCTGAGGGGCTCATCTTCTGGCACTGTATCTGACGATATTATGGTGTTCTTCATCATGTTGCAATAGTCAGTACTCAATATTCTGGTGCTGTCTGACAATATTCCACTGCTATTCATAACATTTTCAGTGACTATACATTCAGAAGGAGTCCTTCCTTCTCTTCTTCTGGAAGCTCTGCTGAAGCCAGTTCATCATGGGCGACCCTGCTGGGCTTGTTTTTTCAATTAAAGATTTGATTTATTCAAGTATCTGAAAACAGTCTATAATATAAACCCTTATTAGATGCTTATACTTGCTATGGACCACACATATATGTCGCCATACTGTTTTCAGAAGACTTGAAATGCTACTGGTAGTTTAAAAATTGTACACCCGTTGGAGAACTGAGGAAGACTATTTTATGTTTTATATGGATACAGAAATGCATCAAAATGAACGACCCGCTCCAATCAGCAAGCAGTGTTTAGTGACGTGTATCCATGGAGAAATGGCTGCGATTCAGAAATGCTTCCCCCAAAAGGTGGATGCTTTAAAAAGTTTCAGGTCATAGCCTTTGCAGAAGACAACACTGATGCCCAACACACTTGATTTTCAGTCCAGAAAACATAGGTCTTCTAGGCTCCCTGTTGTGGAGTGCCCCGAGAATCATGCTTCTGTGCTGTGACTAGGATGGTCCTTTAGACTGGACAGGGAGCAGATGGGGGCTGTACACCTCAGTCATATTGGATGGCAGTGAAAAATGAAACAAATGACGATGAACAAGGCAAAAGATGTCATAAACCCTTCTTACGTGAGCTCCTACTTGCCGCCATAGTCTTCCACATCTATCTGTAGGTAGTTGCTGCAGTTGAGGTAGAGGACTCCTGCATTGATCAAGCAGAGTCCTGCTATTCCCAAGAAAATTCACAATGGCAACACTCCCCAAATGACACCCAGGACCACAGCGATGATCTGCCGGAACTAGTAGATCACATCTAAAAATTCATCCTTGTCCTCCCAAGCCGCGTCGCTCTGCAGCACCTTGCTCCAGACACTTAAAGGGCCCTGTTGGCCAGCTGTGGGTGAGCTGGCTCCTCCTTCCGCTGCCCACTGCTCATTCTCCCATGGCGCTGCCACAGGAAGTCTGGGTTCGAGGGGGCAGGTCTTAAGCCTGAGGGGCGGCCACGGGGGCTACAAACTCAGTGGTCGGGCGGGTGGTAGCCTGCAGCCCCTCTTACTTAAGCAGGTCTCCCGACTGTGCTCACTTGGTCAAGACCAAGACTCGACGCTGCTGGTTTTTAAAGCCCTGGTGGCATAGCTTCCAGAATCACAGCAACATGGAAGCCATTACCGTTTAAGAAACTGACAGATGATTTGCTGTACTCCCTATGTAAAACTTCAATATCTACCCTTTGTTTCATAATAAAACCCAAGTTTATATATGATTTGGTATTTATTATCTTATCTTGGCTTAACTCTAGTTTTATCATTTCCTTTATAGTCCCTCAACTAACTAACTAGCTAACTAACTAACTAACTAATTCTTTCTTCTTCAGGTGGACTTCAGAGTTTCTTGAGCATGCAATGGTTTTGTATGTAATATGCCATCTAGCTGGAATGCTTTTCTTTACCTTGTTTGCTAACAACTCCTTTTTATCCTTCAAGATCCACTTCAGCTATACTCCATCTCTGAGGTCATCCTGTACTCTCAGGGTGAAATCTTTATCTTCCCTCGCAACTTGATTTTATATGTATTATAGAACAATTTTATTATAGAAATATTTATGCTATATTAGAACTATTTATATGAATTTTCCTTAAGTTTTGTTTTATTTTCCTTGTATCTGTAAGTGAACTCTGAGTGAAGCAATATATTTTCATTATTTCCAGCACCTAGGAGTCCTAGTGTGCGTTGTAGGACTGCTAACCACAAGGTCAGTGGTTCAAACCCACCAGCTGCTCCTCAGAAATCCTATACAGGGTCTCTATGAGTTGGAACCAACTCGATAGCACTCAACAACAACAACAGTATAGTGTCTGACCAGAGTATATCCTCAGCAAATATAGGTTGATTGAATAATGAATCAGTGTCTCAAAGACATTTAAAGTCTGGGTCAAGGTGTGGGCATGGCTAAAAGACCATTCTCCACCTTGTGTAGGGCCTAGAAATCTTTCACTAGAACAAACAAACAAAAACGAAGAGTTATTTTTTTGGGAGGAGGAGTGCCTTATTCATTCCTTGTGTGGCCTTTTAGGGGTTTTACAAAGCAAATTCATAGTTTTGAGGATTAGCTCAGCACTCAGGGAGCAGCACCCTAGAGTCTCTGAATATTATATAGGATTGGACTTTTAGTCATTGATACTAGAACAAATAGGAGCTTTCTGGACAATAGTATTTTGACAGGCATATGGGACTTTAAACTTAAGAAACATTACAATGACTAAAAGGGGGGAATAGTTAATGTTACAGTCCAGAGACAGAGGACCCTAGGACCATCAAGGGAGAAGAGCACAAACAGAGTGCGGGACCCTATCCAGAGAAGCAGTTACACCAGAGAAAAAGACAGAGATGAGGACCTGGAGTGACTGAGCAGCTAAGGACTCTAGACTTATGGAAAGAGAGGGACTGAGTGCTGGTGGCCAGGAGCAGGCTTGCAGAATGTCCCCTTTGGTAGTTTAAATTATTATATATTCCTGAGTGTTTAGAAAAAAAAGAGAGAGAGCTTTTAAAGTGAATAGAGAGAAATACTGTTAACTGATGGTACATGGAGGGGATTATAACCAGTGTAAAGAAGCAAAGTATATGATTTGTTGAATGTAAAACTGATGATCTGCCTTGTAAACGTTCACTCAACTCACAATTAAAAAAAAAAGTCTATCTAATCGCCCATCGGGAAACCCCTGCATGATGCTCACGTGCTAGTGAATTCCTGTGGTTTCCAGCCCTGGCTTCTGAAGCTCTGTGGTTCTAAGCGGTCCTGCAGGGATGGCGGTGGAGGAAGATGGATAATAATGAGCCTAGTGGACCAAGCTCCAGATTTCTCTGTCTGGCTTTTTAATCGGAGCAGTTCCACTTTTAATTTGTTCATATATTGATCCATCACGTAAGATTTGTCTGAAAAAATAATTTTGTTGCTAAACTTTTTTACAGGTGAAAACGATTGGCACGGTAGGATAATGTGCTGTACGACAAGGTCAGTTTGAACTGCAAGATTGGCAGTTCAAACCCAGCAGCTACTCCTTGGAAACCCTACACAGGGTCACTCTGGGTCAGAACCGACTCAACAGCATTTAATCACAACATACCAATGTTACCTGGATAAAGGGGTTTCAGCGAAGCTGACTCCTTGGTGGCTTAAGTGAAAAATACTTTGACTTACAACTTAACACAACTTAACACATGTCCAATTTCTGTCCAGCTGGAGGAGTTCACAGAGGCGGAAGATGCTCTCTCTGAAGCTAACGCATTGAACAACTACAATGCTGAAGTGTGGGCATACCTGGCTCTGGTCTGCCTGAAAGTGAGTGTTTATTATCTTTTCACAATTCTCTTTCTGGACATAGATGTGAAGCCAAGGAAGCAGGAGACAGTGGGATGACCATGAATGTCATAATAGTCGAGGTTTGATAAGTTCCAGCATTGGTCATTGTACCGATGACAAAGGAAAGAAAACCATACATATAAGGTGTCTGGACGAAGGCTGTGAACACAGAATGTAAGCTAGGTCAAGGGCCAGCGAAGGAGAAGCTCTGCCAGTCTTTCGGAAGCATTCCTTCCTGCTGAACTGCCCGTGGAGGGTGCTTGTTCTTTTTGCAGATGGGAAATTGGAGATAGCATTGTAGGAGTTTGTGATGGCTGCTAACTGCAATGTCATTAAAGATTGCATTATTTTAAAAACTGTGCTCCTCCATTATTAGCTGTGTAACCTTCCCAATTAATTATCCTCTCTGCTTCGGTTTCTTCATCTGTAAAATGTGCCCCACAAAAAAGGAGGGAAAGGATAAAGGGGCCATAGTGGTTGACTTTGCAGTCCAGGAGCGGAAACCCCTGGGACCATCATGGGAGAAGAGTGGAGAGCGGGACCCTACCCAGAGAAACAGTGACACCAGAGATGGAGGCAAAGATGTTGACGTGGAGAGATGGAGCAGCTGGGGACTGTAGAACCAGAGAGGGAGAGGTGCTGTGTGCTGATGACCGAGGGGCAGGCTTGTAGGGCATACCCTTTGGTTGGTTGATGATGCATGGAGGGGATTGTAACCATGGCAGTGAAACGATATATGATAGGATGAATGTAAAGCTAATGTTTTCCCATGTAAACTATCACATAATTCACAATAAAACAGTTTAAAAAAAGAAAAGAGGAATCAATGCATTTAAAGCATTGTAAACAATATAAAGCACAAACCTGTGGATTTGTGATTCTGCCTTATAGTAACCGTATAGGACAGGGTAGAAGTATCCCATAGGGTTTCCAAGGCTCTCATTTTTATGGAACTGACTCGACAGCTCTTAAAAACAGTAATTTTTATGGACACAGACTGTCCTATCTTTCTTCGGCAATGCCTTGGGTGGGTTTGAATAACCAACCTTTCTGGTTAGCAACTGAGCACTTAACCACTGTGCCACCAGGGCTCCTTGTAAAACACATGTCAAACCAAACCCAGTGCCGTTGAGTTGATTCCAACTAATCATGTCCCTGCATAGTGTTTCCGAGGCTGTGAATCTTTACGGAGCAGAAAGCCTGGTGAGTTTTAACTGCTAGCCTATATGGTTAGCAGTCCAGTATCACCACATAGCAAGCATGTGTTCGCTGCTATTAACAGAATGTCTTCAATCCTAAGAGGAATGAATGACTCATAGTGCTTTCGTTAAAAAAAAAAAAAAGAGGCAAAGTTGTCTGTAAGCCTTTTGAAATAAAGGGTTTTTTTTTTTTTAGCATATTAAAGTATCTGTCTTTCCCGATTAGCTTGCATTTTCTTGCTTCCTTTCTGAATTCAGAGGTTCGTAAGTGGGAAGGCATGGAATCCTCTGCCTTGAATCCTAGAAATGTTGGGGGCAGTGTCATTTCCCCATGCTAATGTTGATGAGGACGTCATGCTGACCACTGCTGATTTCTTTTCAGGCTGGAAGGCAGCTGGAAGCTGAGCAGGCCTACAAGTACACGTTGAAGGTATGGCTCTGTTGATGACTCTATTGGTTTGCCTGCAGACTGTACTGTACTGGGGTTGGGGAAATGGGAGGAGGCGTTGGCTTAATTAAGGTCTTTAGAGCATTTCATGAGGTCAATATTTTCCCAGTGGCTTTCCTTACATCTATGCCATTGTCACGGGCTGCTCGGTTTGGATTAATAACCCACCTATTACCATTTGTGGACCTTTCTTCCATCTCTCAAGGGAAAGTCTGGTTTAGTGGGGAAACAGCCTGGAAGTTAGCAACCCTTAGGTACGGTTCTGGTTTTGCTAAGAATATTGTACAAATCTTTCTGGACTTTATTTCCTAATGTGCAAAATGGAAGAGTTGGAGTAGTCCAGGGTCAGCAACTTTTCCTGTAAAGGGCAAGATAAAACATTTTAGGTTTTCTTTGATGTAACTAGTAAAGTCTGCCCTTGTAGTACAAAGGCAGTCATAGGCGGCACATGTAAGAATGAGTGTGCCTGTTCCAATAAAAACTTTATTTACAAAACAGGTGGCCGAACAGGTTCATTTGCCAAACCCTGCGCTATTCAGTCAGTTACGAACTGGAAGTAGTAGAGACTTGAATGGCAGTGGCTTCAACAAAATGTTGTTGTTGTTAAGTGCCATTGAGTTAGTTTCTACTCATAGCAACCCTGTGTAGGGTTTCCAAGGAGTGGCTGGTAAGTTTGAACCACTGACCTTGCAGTTTAAACCACCCTTGCGGTCTAGTGCTTTATCCCACAGCACCACACCAGGGCTCCCCTTGAACAAATTAGGAGAGGCGTTTTTTCCATTAATGAGAACATAGCTCAGAACTGGGCAGTGTTTCCTTCTGTTGTGCATAGGGTCACTAGGAGTTGGAACCAACTTGATAGCACCTAACAACAGCAACGAGAAGACCTGGTGTGGTACTGTAGGGTAAGCAGCTCACTATGAGGCAGTTCCAACTCCTAGTGACTCTGTATAGGGGTTCCAAGGAGTAGCTAATGGTTTTGAACTTCTGACCTTGTAGCTCACTGTCCAGTGCTGATCGTACAGCACCATATTGTTGCCCTAAAGAACAATAAATTCTGTTGTGTTAGTGAAAAAGGATAGAATGGGTATTCAGTAGCAACTAGATTTCTCTATCACACATCTATATTCTCAAATTGAATTCAGATCTAATAATAAGTCTGCCAGCCCTATGTCTTTGGTTCCTTTCTGGAATCAACTGAGAATACTACACATTAGCCAATAGATGTCGGTGATGATATGTGTACCCTTTTTAAAATAATTTTTATTACAGTTGGCTTTAAAATAATGCACAAATATGTTCATGACATTTTGTGTATTTTCACAAAGTGAACGTATCAGTGTAACTGATACCCACCCATATTCTGAGATCTTTTAATGGGGTCTCATAAAATTAGGGAATATTGGACGAGTCAGTTCCATCATGAGGAACTATGTTTTTTGCTCCCCACAAATGAGTTGCCCGAGACCACACAGATCTGACAGGTATGACATGTGCCCTTGTTTTCTTTTTTCCATGCAGCTGAAATTGCAAGATGAGGCTCTCCTTGCAGAGATCCACATGGTCCAGCAGATGGTTGGTTTTGGAGATCCGTCTTTCTGACAGCCGTACAGCTGAGGCATTGTCTATGTGAAACTGTAAGAGAGCCCCTTTCTTTCCTGGAGAAATCCAACCCTGGAAGCAGCCCCATACAAAGCCTGGGGCTGTAGAATAAAAGATCCTCACCATAGTCCGAAGCCCATTCATTATTTCTATTGGCGATGCTATTGGATATTTTCCTGGTTGACAGTAAACTGTATGACAATAAAAAATGGATCCAAGAGATTGAAAATCCATTAGGGTGGTTCTGGAGTTACTTAACCTATACTGGATAAGCCTGGGATCGGTCATTGATTATTAAGGTTTCTGATGAAAGTTATTAGAATCACTCCAGGAGAAAGTCAACTGCTAAATTCATGAACTCAAACTTAGGGTTGAAGACATGATTTTCTAACGTGGGCCTCAGAAAACTGCTCTGCTGGGTCACACAGACGACTGCTCTGCTGGCATATTGTGGCCAGGCCCCTTGGGTCCTATGGTAAGCAGAGCTGAGCCAAGAGTTCCTTGCTTGAGGTAGAGGTGCCTCCCTCTAATCATGGGTGTCTTCATAGATCCAAACACCAGGGATCCCTGAAGAGTCTGTTATCCTATAAAATGAGGGAATTTCAAAAAGTTTGTGGGAAAATGGAATTTAAAGATAATGGAATTTTCCCACAAACATTGTTACCCAAAGCTTGGGTCTGATGCCTTGGGGCCGCAGAGCCCAATTCACAGACACACAAACTCCTGGGACTAGGCCAGTTTCCAATGATGCCCCATGACTAGTTATTTATTTTTGGAGAGCTACTACTTTTGTTTTGTTCTGATCATATCAAATAACCATACTGTACTACACTACTTTCAAATAAACTTATTTCATTTTTTGGAAAATCTCCTTAAATAATAGTTACCATTTTCTAAAATTTTCATAATGAGTAACAGTTTCAGGTCAGAAAAGTTATGATTCCGTGCTATTACAAAATATATGATGGATTGGAGAAGCACTTTCCTAAGCTGCAGTCCAAAGATAAAAATGGTTGTTGTTGTTAAGTGCCATCCAGTCAATTCCCACTCATAGTGACCCTGTATAGGGTTTCTGAGGAGTAGCTGGTGTGTTGGAACTTCTGACCTTGTAGTTAGCAATCCATTGCAAGCCACAGCCCAAAAATGGTGATTGTTGTTATTAAATGCTTTCAACTTGGTTCTGACTCATAGTGATCCTGTATAGGGTTCTGAGGAGCAGCTGGTGAGCTTGAGCCACCAACCTTGTGATTCAAACAGACTTTACAGTCCAGTGCATTGTCTCACAGCACCACACCAGGACTCAAAAAAAAAAAAAAAAAAAAAAGGTGGTAGCCATCTCTATATGGAATCCTTGTGTGACACTGTAGGTTAATGCAAAGGTTGGTTTGAACCACAAGGTCACTGGTTCAGCCTTACCAGGTGCTCCTTGGAAACCCCTATACGGGGTTGCTATAATTCGGAACTGACTCCACAACACTTAACAACAAAAGCATCTCTATTTGCTGACCTTTGTTAAATTCGATATGCAGGATCAGTGTTTCTTTTAACTTTTTATTGTGAATTGAGTGAAGGTTTACAGACCAGATCATCAGCTTTACATTCAACCAATTATTACTTTGTTTCATCTCAATGATTACATTCCCCTCCCTGCAACAACAGTTACCCCACTTCCTCCCTGTGGCTCCCATTTGCATCTTATATTTCACAAATGAACAAAGCAAAAATAATTGATGCACACATACAAACCAAAAAATACATATTCATTTAATGTCCAAAGGGCATATTCTGAAAGCCAGCCTCCTGCCCGCAGGCACACAGCCTAACTCAGCCCATGGTCCTAGAGCCCACAGCTGCTCTGTCTCTCCATGTCATGGCCTCTGCTGTGGACTCTTTTCTAGGTGGGATTTCATGCTCCACTCATGCTTTTCCTTCTTGATGGTCCTGGGATCCTCTGTTCATGAAATGAAAGATTAACTCCTTCCCCCTTTTAGTTACACATCTTCTACAGTTACAGTTATGACATTACAATTAATCCTGCTAACAGTTACTCACAATTGAATCATAAAAGCATATCACCATTATCCCCCATACTCTTTCACCAGGTCCATCTGGAAAAGAGGAAAATTATTCGATAGGCATTCTACATTACTCTGTTGTTGTGTGCCGTCAAGTTGGTTTCAATGTATAGCGACCCTGTATAAGGTTTCCAAGGAGTGGCTTTTGAGCTTGGACCACTGACCTTGCAGTTTAAACTGATTTTACAGTCCAGCACATTAGCTCATGGTGCCTACTTATTCTGAAACTAAGTACACTCATGAAAGCTTGTATGCCAGCCATTTCATGCCTTTATAACTTATATTGATAGCTAATGTGTAAATTGCCTGTCCTTATAAAACCAGCCTACCACTCATCTGTCAGTTTGTGTGGTGGCTTGTGTGTTGCTATGATTCTGGAAGCTATGCCATGGGTATTTTAAATACCAGCAGGGTAACTCATGGTAGACAGGTTTCAGATGAGCTTCCAGATAAAGACAGACTAGGAAGAAGGAAAAAGGGACTACCAAATGTTTAGTCACTGAAAACCTTATGAATAGCAGTGGAAAACTGTCAGCACCAGAATATTGAATATTGAAACATGATGAAGAAGACCAAAGTATTGTCAGATATGGTGCCAGATGATGAGCCCCCAGGTTGGAAGGCCCTCAGAATATGACGGGGGAAGAGCTGCTTCCTCAAAGTAGAGTTACCGTGATGACGCAAATGGAGAAAAGCTTTCTGGACCTTCATTTGCTGATGGGACATAACTCTGAAAAGAAACAGCTGTAAGCATCCATTAACAATGTTGTTGTTGTCAGGTGCCATCGAGTCGGAACTGACTCATAGCGACCCCATGCACAGCAGAATGAAACAATGTCCGATCCTGGGCCAACCTCACTACCGCCGCCACACTTGACGCCATCAATGATGTCACCTGGCTGATCCATCTCGTTGGGGGTCTTCCTCTTTTTCTCTGACCCTCCACCTTACTCAGCATGACATCCTTCTCCAGCGACTGTTCTCTCCGGACAATGTGTCCAAAGTACAGATTTCTCAGAGTACAATGAAATGTTCTGGAATACTCATACTTCACAATGTTGTCCATAGCTTGTCATGATCCACACAATCGAAAGCCTTTGCATAGTCAATAAAGCATAGGTAAACATTTTTCTGATATTCTCTGCTTTCAGCCAAGATCCATTGGACATCAGCAATGATATCTTGTTCATAGAATTAGCTGTCAATAAATCAAATGATGTATTGCATTAGGCAAATCTGCTGCACAAAACCTCTCTAAAGTGTTTAAGAGCAAAGATGTCAGTTTGAGGACCCAAGCCTGACCCAAGCCATGGTATTTTCAATAACCTCATATGCAGCTGAAAATTGGACAGTAAATAAGGAAGACCATAGAAAAATTGATGCATTTGAGTTATGGTGTTGGAGGAGAATATTGAAAGTACCACGGATGGTCAAAAGAACAAATAGATCTGTGTTGGAAGAACTACAGCCAGAATGTACCTTGGAGGCCAGGATGGCCAGACTTCATCTCTCATACCTTTAACGTATCAGGAGAGACCAGTCCCTGAGAAAGGATATTATGTTTGGTAAGGAGGAAGGTCAGAGGAAAAGAGGCAGACCCCAAACGCGATGGATTGGCACATGGCAGCAGCACTGGACTCAAACATAGCAATGGTTGTGAGGTTGGTATAGGACTGGGCAGTGTTTTGTTCTGTTGTGCATAGGGTTGCTATGAGTTGGTACCAACTCGATGGCACCTAACAACACACAACATACCAATCCAGTCAGTACACTGAGGAAACTAGCTTGTTCTTTGATATGAAGAATCCTTCCATTCTGGTAAGAATTTTGAGCTATTGCGTCAGTAAGGAAAGTTCCATTTCATCAACTTGTAGCAATTTACACCTATTCACAGTATCAAACATCTTTATCTTCATCTGGTTAGGTTCTGGTCAGTTACTATCCAAGGCATGCCAAATGGGTAATAGATGCAAGTTTGGGTGTTCATGCACATCTCCCTGTGCTTCAGATCACCTGGCTGCTTCACTCTCAGCCCTACCCCCCAGGGGCTAGGTCAATGCCCATGGGCTCAGGAGTTCATACATCTTCCTAAACAGACCAGACAGCCCTTCCTCTTCTCTCTCATCTCAAGGTCAACTGGTGTCAATGGAAGATGGCCAAGCTCAGTCCATGTCTTCATTGCTGTGTTTCCCCCACTTCCACTCACAAGTAGACCCAGGTAGTCACCATAGAGCTTAGCTTAGTAGACTGCTCACAGGTTCCCTTTAAATTTCAGTCTGAGAAGGGGGTTTCTTTGATGGGCTAATTTTTCTTTTCTTGATGCCTCCAAAGCAAACAGCTTGCTTTATATTCAAACAGCCAAACAATCCGCTTGTTAGAAAAGATTGAAGCTGTCAAAGACTTCATTTTACTTAGATCAACTATCAACACTCATGGAAGCAGCAGTCAAGAAATCAAACGATGTATGGTGGTGGTGGTGATGTGCTGTGGAGTCGGTTCTGACTCACAGCAATCCTGTACAGGGTTTCTGAGGCTGTAAATCTTTATAGGAGCAGAAAGCCTTGTCTTTCTCCCTCGGAATGGCTGGTAGCTTCAAATAGCATTAGGCAAATCTGCTGCATAAGACCTTTTTAAAGTGTTGAAGGGCAAAGATGTCAGATTGAGGACTAAGGTGGCCTGACTCAAGCCATGGTACTTTCAGTAACTTCATATGCATGTAAGGCACTCTGGTAGCGTAGTAGTTAGGGCTGTGAACATCAAGGTCAGCAGTTGGAAACTACCAGCTGTTCTGTGGGAGAAAGATGAGGCTTTCTGCTCCCATACAGATTTATAGCCTTGGAAACCCTGTACAGGGTCGCTTTGAGTCGGAACCTACTCCACAGCACATAACCACCACCACCATGTGAAAGTTGGACAGTGAATAAGGAAGATTGTAGAAGAATAGATGTGTTATGGTGTTGAAGACTATTGAAAGTACCATGGACTGGCAAAAGAAACAATAATCTGTGTTGAATTATGTGCAACCACAGTGCTCCTTGGAAGCCAGGATAGCCACATCGTCTCTTACACTTCGGACATATTGTTAGGAGGGACCAGTCACTGGAGAGGGGTATCATGTTTGGTAAAGTGGAGGGTCAGAGAAAAAGAGGAAGACCCCTAACGAGATGGATTGGCAAAGTAGGAGCATCAATGGGGTCAAGCGTAGCAACAACTCTGAGGTTGGCTCAGGATCGGGCAGTGTTTCGTTTTGTTGTGCATATGGTCGCTAAGAGTCCCAACCGACTCGACGGCACCTAACAACAAAAGTGATGCCAAAGAAACTGTACTTGACACTGCCCTCCCTACTGAATCAGCACAGCAAAAGCCAGGAATAAGGGTTTTCCCTCTTAATTTAAGAGGGTATCTATGGAGGATACCCACTGCAGTGTCAATTACAAGGCACTTAACAAGAACAAATTGCCTCTATGGGAGGTGAGGTGAGAGACAAACTAATAAACAGAAAAGGATAATATAAGCTCGAGTCAATTACAGTCCTCTTCAGACCCTAATGTTGCAAAGTGCCATCGAGTTGATTCCGACTCATAGCGATGTGCCGTATAGGGTTTCCGAGGAGCGGCTGGTGAACTTGAACCGCCCAACTTGTGGTTCAAATCAACTTTGCAATCCCACGCATGAACCCACAGCGCCGCACCAAGACGTCCACAGTTAACTCTGATTAATCATTGTCTCTCCAACCGACAGTGAGCTGTTGGGGGCAGGGACGTCAGCACAGCGTATCGCCCTAACCAGGTACTCAAAAAGTCTGCGGAACGGTGACTCGATAATGCTTTGCACGTCTCTTAGCCATTCTAGGTAGTCTCCCAACACACTTCACTCAACACGCAAGTCGAGCCCCGGAACTTAACATTTGCAGTTGAAACCCGCCTCTTCCGTGCTAGCGATTGGTACGTAATACGGCACCTGTTGCATTGTGGGAACTGTAGGCGATGAAGCCGCGTTGCATTGTGGGAAGTGTCGGGGAGGAAAGCGGGCGTCCGGCCGGTCGCTTATAGAACTACTTCGCTCCTGTCTTAGTTGTTGTGCGCGAGGTCCTCTGTGGTCCTCCTGGCCTTTCCTGTGGATCCTGCGTGAAGCTGTAGAGCAGATCCGTGTGGACGGCTGACATACAGGCCGAATCCACCATGGTCCAGCTCAGTGAGTCGATGGGGGCGCCTCGAGATCTTCCTGCAGGGCTCAGGGGTCTTGGTAGAACCGATCTGCCGCGGGCTCACTAAGGAAATGAAACCTGAAACATTACATTTGATTTTCCCCTCCCCTCCTCGACCCCAGTTGTTGCCATCGAATCATCTGAAACTTTACGAGGTAGATGCCACCCATTTTACAGAGAAGGCAGCTGATGCTGGAAAACAGGAATTAGACAAGGTTACAGAGCTAATAAGTGGCAGGCCTGTGTTGAGTGGAGTCGGAGAGTTCATTTTTGGCTGGAGTGAATAAAAGGATTTGGGCCGATTGACAATAATTGATAATATTTAAATCGAGGAAGTGGAGTGTCTCCAATACCTCCTTTGGTATTTTGTGCGCTGCGGACTTGTGTCCTAATCAGTTATTTCTCTTTAGCTACCCTGCTCTGCAAGGCTTACCATGGGGGCCACTTAACCATCCGCCTGGCCCTGGGTGGCTGTACCAACCGGCCATTCTACCGCATCGTGGCTGCTCACAACAAGTGTTCCAGGGATGGCCGTTTCGTGGAGCAGCTGGGCTCCTATGACCCACTGCCTAACAGTCATGGGGAGAAGATCGTTGCCCTCAATCTGGAGAGGATCCGGCATTGGCTTGGCTGCGGAGCCCACCTTTCGAAGCCTGTGGAAAAGCTTCTGGGTAACAGCTTTTGTGTCAACCTCATTGAGGGGATTTTAAATAGAAGTTGGCCCAGGATGATGAAAATGATGAATGGTTTTCATTACCTAGAGGGTGCTCAGAACTTGGTTGGGAGCTGAAATTGTGATCTAATTGCCATTTGTTATCTGGAGACTTCTATGGATTCCTTTATGAAATTTGACTTATCTGGATTATATGTTAAAAATGAGACTAGTGTTTCTTCAGTGGCCATCTCTTTTTCAAATAAGTAGAATAGTGTTTGAAAGTAGACAGCATTCTCTGTCTCCTTGCAGTCAAATGGTATGGGGAGGAAGAGTTTGGCGTATTTTATATCCTTGCCCTGGGTCTGGTCTCTATTAGATCTCAGTTGTATGAGGTAGCGTTCTCAGGGAAATGTTGATTTGTTCTGTGTTACAATGAGTGAATATACTGTTTCTTTTAGGTCTTTCTGGCTTTTTCCCTCTACATCCCATGATGATCACTAGAGCTGAGAGACTACGAAGGAAACGGGCCCAAGAAGTCCTCTTAGCTTCTCAGAAGACAGATACAGAGGCTACAGAAACAGAAGAGAGCTGATTGGGTGCACGCAACATTGGAACAACATTGCCAAGGTCTTCCTAAAACACATAATACAGAGCTTTTCATATTGTTAGATTTGGAGATTAATAAATGGAGTGTTCTGAGTCACCCATGCTCTTCTGGAAGCAGTAGAGGGTGGTGGGCCTCGATAGTCCTGGCCTGAGCCCTGGCCGTGCCCAGGGAGAGACTTGTTCTTGTCTGACATAGACTCTAGGTGCTAATTTGCTTTTTCAGCCTTGGTCTGGGGAAAGATAATGGCTGTGGGAAGGGTTGGACTCTGGGTCTCTTGGATAACTTGGTGTTGTTGTTAGGTGCCGTTGAGTTGATTCCAACCCATAGCGACCCTGTATAGGGTTTCCAAGGAGCAGCTCGGGAACTTGAACCACCAACCTTGCAGTTCAAACGACTTTGCCGTATGTTGCATTAGCCCACAGCGCCAGAGCAGGATAACTTAAGTCAGCTGTATTCCAACACTTCCCTTCTTCAAAGCCTCCAACCAGCATGCTCATGTCTTATCCTTAATCGTTTATGATCATCCCACAAGCATGGTGGTTCTGCACAATAAGCACTGGACTGTGAAGCACAGTGTTGGTGGTTCAAGCCGACCAACTGCTCTGTGGGAGAAAGATGTAGCTTTCTGCTCCTACAAAGAATTACAGCTTTGGGAACCCTATACAGGATCACTGTAAGTCAGAACCAATTTAAAGGCATTTAACAATACCACCACCACCACCACAAGCTCAAGAACACAGTAACTTTGCTCATTGTTACTGTAATTTGAGAATTATATCATAAAATTGAATCATATGAAATTGCCAAATATTAGACTTTTTAAAAAATTTCAGTTTTTTATTGACAGTTTCTTAGCGTCAGCCCATTATGTAGACATTCCCCATGGGATACAGGAGAGAAGATGATCTGGGGTAGAGACTGTGGCGGACCGGGGCTACATCTGGTTTCACAGGAAAGAGGTGGGCATGGCATGGCTTCTCACCGTATGCAGGGGACAAAATTATCAAAACTTCGTAGACATAACAAACACTTTGAGGGGATGAGTTACTGGGCATGGAGGCTGAGACCAAAATCTCTGGACACACATTGGTTCATTGGCACAGCATGGTCCACAAAGACAAAGTTCTACATCCTACTTTTGTGAGTAGTGACTAGGATCTTAAAAGCTCATTGTTGTTGTTAAGTTAGGTCATTTCAGTTCCAGTTCATAGTGAGTGTGTGTAGGATTTCTGAGGAGCATCTGGTGAGTTTGAACTGCCGATCTGGTGGTTCGCAGTCTAGTGCTGATCCGTAGTGCCACCAGAAAAGCTCATTAGCAGCTATTTAAAGTGCAATTATTGGAAAGAAGTGTGATGAAAACTGAAGGTGCTTGGAAACAATTAGTCCATTGGGCCTATGGAACATATGAAACATCAGTTTCCATGACCCTGAAACCAGAGCTAGCTGGTGCCCAACTACCACTACCAGCTATTCTGAAAGAGATCACGTTAGAAGGTCCTGGATAGAGTCAGAGAAAATGTAGACCAAAACTAAACGTTATACAAAACAAAACACAGATTTACTTGTCAGAGACTAGAGGTCAAAAAGGCAGCATTTACCTAAGGATTCTGAAGGGCTGGAAAAGGTGGTTGAATAGAAACAATCAGGGAGGAACTGGGATAACCATTATTATTACATGGAGGGGGACTGTAACCATTGAAATAAACCGAAGAATATGGTTTGTTGTACGTAAAACATGATCTGCTCTGTAAAACGTAAAATTTTTCACAATAAAAAGTGTCAAAAGATTTTTTTATTTCAGTTATTCACTGCAATTTCATAGCTGCAACTCAATATATGGACTTTTCCTTGTTTCCAACTAATTAGAAGGCAGCCACGGGTTAGAAGGTACGGCGGGACCCAGGCGACGTTTGCTTTTGCTTTGGAAAGAAGCCAGCAGGGTTGTTCTCCAGACACAGCCCAGGAGAGACTGCGACGCTAATCACGACTCCGCCCCTTCAAGTTGGCTTTTCCTAGCCGAGTCAAGCTTGGTCCGTGCTGCTTTGCGGCTGCCGTAAAGCGTGCCTCCGGGACATGATTCCGCCCCTTCCTGTTCCTCTTGTGACGCAGGCGCCCTAGGCTTTTTGCGCGGGAAAAGGGAGCGGTCCTGGGCCCTAGCGATAGTGCTGGGACTCGCTGTTGTCGTCGAGGTCGCCGCCTGCTCGGGTCCCATGCCAGACATGGGGCTGCTGGAGCTGTGCGAAGACGTGTTCGGCACCTCCGACCTTTATCAGGTGCTGGGCGTGAGGCGCGAGGCCTCGGACGGCGAGGTCCGACGCGGCTACCACAGGGTGTCCCTGCAGGTGCACCCGGACCGGGTGGGAGAGGACGACAAGGACGACGCCACCCGCCGTTTCCAGGTGCGCGAGACGCAGCCCGGACCGAACCGGCCGCCCGGGTCTTGGGTCTCCTGTCTGCCCCCTTCGGTGCCCGCTTGCCGGCCTGGCGGTTCCCGGTCTTTACTTCCTGCCCCGAGGCGGCCCCTGGGAGCTGAGGGATGACGTTTGGGTGTTCTGTCCTCGCAGATCCTCGGGAAAGTCTACTCGGTTTTAAGTGACAAAGAGCAGAGGGCGGTGTATGATGAGCAGGGCACGGTGGACGAGGACTCCGCCGAACTCACCCAGGAGCGGGACTGGGAGGCGTATTGGAGGTTGCTCTTTAAAAAGGTATGGACTCGGGCGGGAGGTTTCTTGTGCCCGTTCGCTTTTAACAGTTAGTGAAGGTGTTGCGTTTTATACTAATTGTGTTTTTGTTAAGAGCCGTCGAGTCGGTTCCGACCCATAGCGACCCTGAATAGGGTTTCCGAGAAGCAGCTGGTGAGCTTGAACCGCCGACCTTGCAGTTCAAACGGCTTTGCAGTCTGGCGCATTAACCCCCAGCACCAATGCTAATTGTGTAGGAATGCGGTGTTTTGAGTTTAATCTCCAAAAATAGTAGCGTATTGTAAGAGGAGGCTTCAGAAAGTTCGTGGGAAAGTGGTATGAAAAGATAATGCGTTTTCCTACGAACTTTTTGAAGTTCCATCATGAAAGAAATTTAAAAAAAATTTTGTTACCTCTCGATATAGTGCTATTGTTAAAATGGAAAAACCAGATGTATTTATTTATGGGATCTGCTTTTATTTGCATTATTTATGTATGTTACTACTAAGTGCCCTGGAGTTGGCGTTTGACTCCTAGCGACCTTGTACAGAGCTTCTGAGGAGCAGTCGGTGAGCTTGAACCGCCGGCCCTTACAGTCCAAGCTGACTTTTTAGTCCAGCGCATTAGCCCACAGCGCCACATAGTTTTATCTTGCTTATATTGTGGCGCTGTGGGTTAATGTGCCACAGACTGCAATGCCGTTTGAACTGCAACGTTGGCAGTTCAAGCTCACCAGCTGCTCCTTGGAAACCCTATACAGGGTTGCTTTGGTCTGAACCGACTCCAAGGCAGTTCACAACAAGATATTCAAATGCAAATCCTGAATGTTGTTTTGGTCTTTTCCCACTTTGGGAAACTTCATTTTAGTTTTTCCTGGTCAGTAGTTTAGCAGATTTTCAGGTTGGTCTAGGGAAAACTCTGCTGTTGGCTTATGTACTGGACTGCAAAGTCTGTTTGAACCACAAAGTCGGCAGTTCAAGCTGACCAGCTGCTTCTCAGAAAACCCTATGCAGGGTTGCTGTGGGTCAGAACCAACTCGATGGTACTTAGCAACAACAGGGAAAGCCTTAGGCATAAACAACTTGGTTCCTTGCAACAGTTTCAACTCAGGCAGCAATTTGTGGGGAAACATTTCAGCACCTAAATTCTCTCTCCTTTTACTAATGTACTTTTAAAACAAAATGCTCAGAGTTCAAGCTTATCTCCTTTATTCAGATATCTTTAGAGGACATTCAAGCTTTTGAAAAGACATACAAAGGTTCAGCACAAGAGTTGGATGATATCAAACAGGCCTACCTGGACTTCAAGGGTGACATGGATCAGATCATGGAATCTGTGTTGTGTGTGCAGTACACAGAAGAACCCAGAATAAGGAATGTCATTCAACAAGCCATTGACTCTGGAGAGGTCCCATCCTATAAAGCCTTTGTCAAAGAATCGAAGCAAAAGATGAATGCAAGGAAAAGGAGGGTAAGATTTTGAGTGCTATTTATTTTTATCTTGATTGCTTCCTAAAATAATTTGATATTTATAATAATGGAAATAACGGGACTAATGCTCAGAAACCCTATACAGGGTCGCTATGCGTCGGAATCGACTCGCTATGGGTCGGAATCAACTCGACAGCACTTAACAACAGTGCAGAAACAACTCCTGTAATAACAAATGGGAGTTATTGGTGATGCACATCAAAACATCATTACTGTAATATGTTAGTGATGTTTTATATGTAGAAGAGTTTTGTTAATATTATGCATAAAACACTGTATGAAGGTAAGTCAAAAATGATTGCTATGAAGTCACAGAAACTGAAGGCAGTGTTTCCATATCTCTAGCCCTTCCATGGAACAGTTTTCCTGAGCTTTGTCTCACCAATACAGTTTTCAGTTTTCTTAAAACTGTATAATCTCCATGATCGTCCTCTGTCCTTTGAGAAATTCTATCAAAATTGCCCCTTTGGAGTCCCAAAGTAATCATTGCTTCCATGTGGTTTTGGTAGCAGGAGCTCCATTGAGACCAGGTGACTAAAGATTTTGGCTCTCGAGTGAGTACCTTAAGTGCTCTTATTTTGTGTGAGTGCAGCTCACAAGATACACATATGGTGAAGCTGACATTTTGGGAGTGGAGAGGAAATGTTAAGAACTGCCTGACTTGCCTAGATAAAAGATCTGCTGGTTCTGTGGGTGGAGTGGCATGTATAGAATAAGCAAGCTCATCATTTTGGTTCAAAGGCTGTATTTGCTTAAGCTTAGGCCTACAGTTTATTTGAAGGTGGCCATCATTTTCTCAGGCGAAGCACACCCAGCTGTGTCCAGTAACAGGATTTTAGCTTTAGAAACTTGCCTCTGTAGTTTGAGGGGGTGAGTCAACTCCAACTCAAAGTGACCCTCTAAAACAACTGCTCCATAGGTTTCTAAGACTAAGTCAGAAGCAGCCAACCTCATCTTTCTCCCCAGGAACAGCTGGTGGGCTTAAACGGCCAGCCTTTCAGTTAGCAGCCCAATGCTTAATTCACTGTGCCACCAAAACTCCTCATTGATGGGGTAAGGACATAGCTTTCACTCTCCCAGAAAACTCGAGAACTTGGCGATAGGATGTAAGTGAAAGGTGTAAACTCTTTTTTGTTCCTAACATATCACAATCCCAGTGATAATAACAGTGTTGATTGCTACTTCAAAAATTCACAGGGGCTGGGGACTCTTGTAGTTATCATGAAGCAAAGACAAGACTTGATGACCTTTTATAAGGTGTTCTTGTGTAACACCTTTTTATTTGGGAAACATTTATCTTAGGAAAATTTGGTAAAAGAGGATTGCTTTGAAATCAGTTAAAGACATGTTAAAACTGAGTTTGTTAATGTTGCTTCTGATGACTTTAACCCAAGGCTGCTCATAAGGGTGCCGCCAGTCACATGTGGACCCTGTATCTGTAGAGGAGGGGTCGGAATTGCTTGTTGTGTGCTGGTAACTCTTGAGGGTATCTTTGGTGAAGTGGCCTTTGCTAGCAGTTCCAGCCTTCGGTCTTCCTGTTTATCACCAGGTGGCTTTTGGGTACTCATATCCTAATGGATCCCCACCAAGAAAATGGGAAAAGCTCAGATTTAGTCATGCTCGTGGGAATCATTTAGCTACTGCTTGCTCGCAGCAATGTTGCCTTTTAATGAATGTGTGTGTAATTTTATTCATTATATCTTTTCATATAATTTTTGGGAAAGAGTATATTTTAAGCATTTGTTAGTATGCCATGGAGTCTCATGTGAATTTCTGTTTCAGGCTCAGGAGGAGGCTAAAGAAGCAGAAATCAGCAGGAAGGAGTTAGGGCTTGATGAAGGAATGGATAACTTGAAAGCAGCCATCCAGGTAAAGTTGGCTTGTTGTCTGTGGAGTTGCTCCTGGTTTCTTCAGAGTACAGTGTTCTGGGTTCTAACAGTTTTTTTAGAAGATAAATTCACATACCATATACTCACCCTTTACCATTACCACTAATTCTGCAACATAACTCCAGAGAGAAGCTCACTAACAGCCATTCTCCATTCTCCCCTTACCCCCAGCAGCCCCTGGCAACCACTCTGGGGATACTGTTGTTTTGAAATTTTGTGTTTTAACTTTCCAACAGAGTAGACAAAAGGATCGGCAAAAGGAAATGGACAGTTTTCTGGCTCAGATGGAAGCAAAGTACTGCAAACCTTCTAAAGGAGAACGGAAAAAAGCATCTCTCAAGAAAGAAAAGAAATAATGGATTTTTCTCTCTTCAAAGGTTCATAGGATCTAAGTGGTACCTTTAGAAACCAGAGAAAAAGGGCGGGTGGTATATTTCCTGACAGCACTTGCTTTCCTTGATCTTCTGTAAATGGAACTTGATGTTACACGTGGTTCTGCCCATACTGCCTTTAGCAGTTGTCATTTTGTCACAAGAGTGAGCTGCAGATTATGCAGTGATGTACATGTTTGTTAGATCAGGTCCTCTAGCTAGGAGAATTCCTTCAGACACTTGATAATCATTGTCTTTCAAATCCCTGGCAATTTGTTTTGTAATGGTCTTGCTCTCCTTTCTGTTTTTCCCAACCAGGTTCTATACTGTGTACTTGAAGTATGGGGGAAAGGGGTATTCAAATTCAGTTATTTTTGTAAGACTTGTGTATGATTAAATAAGCAAGTGAAAATGACTTATGTCTGGGAGCCTTTAAAATGATCCCAGTGAGCTTTTAAAATACGATCTAAGTAAAACATGAATGGTGTTTAGGTTAGAGAACAGGGAAGACAAGCAGTTCTATTCAGCAGTATAATCACCTTAGAGACATGAGGTGCAGCCCTGCCTCTAACTGCTCAATGTCTGTAGGCACGTCACTGAGCTTGTCCAACTAGTTCCCTCATTTATCAAAGGGCTAAGAGAATTAGGGTAAATGAATTCTTAGAGACCTTAACTTTGACAAGCAAGTCATTTTGATCCAGCAGTTTGTTGTAACGCACTCATGGAATTGGTCTGTGAGAATAGTACAGATTTTCCCTTACATTTGAGTCAATATGAATTCATCAGAATAAAGTTTGTTTTTTTTTAAGGAACTGTCCCAATATAAAACTCCATCCTGTAGACCAATTTATTCAATACTACATGCATAAAAACAAACCTCTCAAAACAAACCTTCTCATAGTACCAAACTATATATCATAATTTATCTGAGGTACACACATGACATATTTTCAGTTTCTAATTACAAAAAGGTTAAAAAATATTCATATTAAAAATAGTAATTTAATGCAGATTGTTTGAAACATTTTTCTTTATGTGACAGTATTAGAGCATCATAGTAAAATTTTAAGTTACTCATTTGTGATCAATTGAACATTTACTCTGAAGATATACAGAAAGATTTAAAACTGGTATAATATTCAGTTATTATTAAATCCTGTCAATCTAAGCCACAGTCCAAATCATTGCTGCATTCATGAATGCCCTCAGGAAAAAAGGTCCTTGGTAACAGCAGAAGAACGCTGACGTGTTTACTGACATCAAAAGCCATTTATTATGGGACATGTTTATACTGGACTAATTGCCAGGGTTTCTTAAATTTTTAATGAATTGCACTTTTGTGACTCATTAATAGCAACAGTCTACAGATCTTTTAAAGATGAGTTTAATACTTGGAAAAGCTACGTTAAGTAGAAACTAAGCATACCCTGGTATCAAGCAGACAATGTGAGGGTGAATTACTGAAAAATACAGAAAATGTTACTTTACAATGATATCAGCCCACCATTTTTGTTTTGGTTACTCATCCCTTCCATATCTGCCTCTCTAGTTGGATTTACAGACACCCTTAGAAATGACGTCTATTTGATGAGCTGCTCAGATTTTTTTTAAAGCCTAGTGTCCTAAAAAGAACTTAAAACAGTATAGTGCTCCATAAATAGAAGCAGAAGTACTCTGAAGCCGATTATAACTAATATATCAATCATCTGCTGGTTTTTGTGTATGTATACTCTCATAGAATCCTATAATAATTTAACAGATCATTGTTAACTGACAATATGAGTTGTGATTTGGGAGTAATTATTCACTGTTAAATCCATGGGTACAAACTTTCCCGCCCAGTGAAATAACTTATACTGAAAGAAGATAGTAACTGGAAATAGAAACAGTACCCCTATATTCTTTGGCAGGTGTTCTTGCATTTTTCTGTCAGCTGAACCAAAATAACTCTTCATGAAGATCGTTTCCAGTTGATTTTCTCTACAAGTTGTGCATGAGGAGATGACAACACTGGTCCATTAAACTTCGATGTATTCCCTGCAGCCTGACACCAGGGCCTTCTCATTTGCCCTATGGCCCCTGTCTGGTTCTAGAGACTGGCCCACCTCTGCTTTGAGACTTTGTAGACCCATGTAACTGAGGACCTATCAGACAAAGACATCATAGAGTAACGTCAGTAGATTTTTCTAAAATCTCAAAATCATATCTAAGGTTTTTTTTTGCTCCAATTATCAATTGGACTTTAATTTTAGAGACAGGAACAAAGTTAATACCATGTTTTACATGTAGAAATTAAGTCTGGAGATCAAGGAATTCATAAGATAGAATCAGATGGAAGGTTTAGAATTACATTTTTTATATTTGCCTAGCAAGTTGACTGATTTGAAGTGGTTTAATCTATAGTAATGTGTATTTAGCCTAGATAATAAAAGCCTTGCTATGTTTGTAAAGAATATTTTCAATGTTAAGAAAATTACTTCTTTGGCTATTTTTTTTCTAGATTTAAAAAAAATAATAGTACGGTCTACTTTGTGAGAATAGTTAGAGGTTAATTTATATGGTCTGAGAAAACAAAAACTTGGAACCTGCTGGCTCTGAGAGTAGACCTTTTTTATTAGTTCTACTCATCATCCAAAAAGGAGCTCTGGTAGCATAGTAGTTACAAATTGGGCAACTAATTTCAAAACTACCAGCTGTTCCAAGGGAGAAAGATGAGGCTTTCTGCTCCCATAAAGATTTACAGCTTGGGAAACCCTGTACAGGATCACTGTGAGTTGGAACTGACTCCATGGCACATGACAACAACAACGACTTCCAAAATTAGATAAAGATTTAGGATAAGTAAATGTGAGAAAATCAGGAGAAAGAGTAAATAGCATAGAACAAGTAAGACAAAGCCAGGGTCTTAGCATAACCAAACCCTAGTGAAGACAGCCATACCTACACATCCCCGGCCAGGGCGGGCCTGATGAGGACACTCCACGGCGCAAGCATGACGACTCTGTGGATCCGCCTAAAAGAGAAAGTATGAGACTGAGAAACTGCTTCTCCCAGAGGCTAATGCTTCAGTGTATTTGCACAGGAAAATCTGGAAGTCGGACAATAATGAAAAAATGTATCGGCTAATCTGAAGGTCAAGTCAACTTGATTGTACTGTTGAAGTCAGAGTAGAAAGTTTAAAGCCCACAAAGCCATTTGTTAACTTGCAAAAGCAGCAAATTCTACAACTTCATTAAAAAAATCTTGTTACATGCCGTCAAGTTGGTTCTGACTCAATAGTGACCTTGTATAGCGTTTCCAAGGCTGCATATCTTTGGAGGAGCATAAACCCTCATCTTTCTTCTCCAGAGTAGCTGGTGGGCTCGAATCACAGACCTTGTGGCTCATAGTCCATTACTTACCTAGAGTCACCATGCTGCCTAAAAAAAATATCACTTATAATCCATGTGGTTAATATTACAGTTGACTTCCAATAGTTTTATCCAATTTTTCTTTATTGCCTGCTGATTAAAGTAACAAAAGTGGCCTTATTGAAACACCCATGACTTGTAATTACAAATTATCTCAAGGAACTAATAAATGTAAAGATATGACTAAAATATTAAAATGTAGGTATCTAAAATCGAGTTAACTTTAAGCATTGTCCTGCTTAGTTAAGTGCCATTGAGTCAGTTAGGACCCATAGCAACCCTTTAAAGGATTTCCGAGGAGCAGCTAGTGGGTTTGAACTGCTGATCTTGTGGTTCAAAGTCCAGTGCTGATCCTACAAGCACCAGACCAGGAGTACACTGGGTCTTCTAGAAGCTACCCCCTCCCGCCGATAAAAAAAAGAACCCAAAACTTTTTAGTTCTCTGTCAGGATGCCGGAATCAAGAGATTGTAGGAATTGGAAGAAACCTTAGGATTTCCTGGTGCAGCCCACATACTCTAGAGAATCATGTTTTTTGTGAAGGATTGGATACTGTTGGAGGTACTGTGGGCCATGCAGTCACTGATGCATCTCCTCACACTGCATGAATGAGTGGCACTGTCCAACAGCATTCATAATAAATCAGTATTTAGAAGAGCTGATGGCTTGTGCTTTGCTGACCTGGTCTAGTGTAAGAACTAAGGAGCAGTGTGCTCATGTGACTCAGGCCCATGATTCAGATCTAGTGCTGTTCCTTTCAGTGATCAGTACTTTGAATGTTGCTGTTGTGACATGCTGTTGAGTCAGTTCCAACCCATAGCAACTCGGTACAGGGTTTCTAAGGAGCAGCTGGTGATCTTGAACCACCAACCTTGTAGTTCAAACAGCTTTTCAATCTAGTGCAATAACCCACAGCACCACTCCAGGACTCCTTTAAAAAAAAGGAGTTTGAATAGCTCCCTTTAAAAAAATTATACTCGAGTCACTTCCCAACAAAGTGAGAGATAAATGGCTAGAGTATTTTTTACTTTTGTTATTGTTAAAAACATCTGAAAAGTTAACCTGTGTTGTTTTTATTCCTAAAATAACAACTTTTTTGTAGAAAGAATTTAGCCTATAGAATATGCTCACCAAATACTGCTTAACAAATATTCTGGATCAAATTATAAAAAGGTGACAGCGGTTCTCAAACTTTTTGGGCTCCACATGGACTAAGATCAGAAATGCTCACATTTCCCCTATGCCCTTGTTGGGACGCATATCCCCCAAATGACGTCTCCTGTAATTTTGTTTTCATCTCTCTTGTGGAGGACAGGTCCTCCATGAGGCTGCTTTACATGAGCTGGGGTGATCTCCCAACACTAGGTGTGGTCCCAGTCACTAACCTAAGCCCTGCTTTCACAAAACGGATGCTGGGGGGCTGAGCTCCTTCCCTCAGGACAGACAAGGTCACTGCCTGACTCCCATCCTCCTAACCAGGTTCTCTCTATTCAAAGTACAAGCATAAGCAATTGCACATCATTGGAACTCACTGAGCCACTACATAAAGTCTTAAGAGTCTTCCAAAACTAGTAATTTTTTCCCCCCATTTCTTTTTCCAACTTTCAATACCATAGAGGAGACAGGTTACTCTACCAGAAATGATTGAGTTGTGTTGGGTCTGGAGAAAAAGTCGGGTAAAAGAAGCCTCTCCTGGGGCTGCTGATGGTTCTGCTCATCCACCACTGCGCTTCGAGCTCGGCTGGAATCACTAAGGGGCTTCTACAGAGGAGACAAGATTGACAGCAAACGTTTGAACTATTAGTAGTGGGAGGATCAGTGCACGGCCTACATCCACCCTGACAGGTATGGTAACTGCAAGCGCAACTCCACTGCCATAAATTAGAGCTTAGTGTGAACTTAGAAAAAACCCAGTATAAATCTGGCCAGAGCTCAGATCTGCAGAATTCCTGCCATGGGTTTCATACTAAGCACATGGGGAGCAATGTGAAAGCAACATACCATTTGCCTTTGTGGCCCCAGAGCACTCAGGTGTTCCATGTCAGCTGTGCCAATAGGTGGCAGCAAGTTATTTCGACTCAGGGGCATTGGTGAGGGGGAGGAAAGCGAGTCAGCTGCTGCTGGGCTGCACATCCCACCAGTGAAGGAAAAGATAAAAAAGTGAGAAGAATCTAAGCAGACGGATTCTAATGCAGTAGATGAAGCAGGTGACTTTAATTTCACGAACAGAAACCTTTAAGTTGCCTATGTTTTTAAAAAAAATCTCAACAAAATGATTTGTGTAGAGCCATTTTTAAAAATGTATTTCTTAATTTTTTGAAGTTTCATCCTGAGTGCTCAGCAGAAGATGGCTCTTGCCTCACACAGAACTAACATGATAAATCATCTCTATTTGGTGTTGCACTTTCCTGGTAATTACAGATTTTTAAATTCACATCTGACGGGATTTCTCCACAGTTCTTGACCTTCAAGTTGTCATGCTCTCTAGTAATGACAATGTCCAGGTCAAGTACCTAAACTTTCCATGGGGTTTGGAGGTACCTCCAGGATTATTTACACCTGAGATTCTAAGTGAAAACTGAATACTTTCAGACCCCAGCAGTATGGCGGATTAATTACGTATCAAATGGTTCATGAGTCCATGGACAGATGGCAAATGCGAACACTGGACATGTCCTGACAAGACTTTTGGTGGCTGTGGAGATCCCTCTTGGTGAGTCGACTAATAAACTAAGCAACTGAAAAATCAAAATCAAGTAACAATGGGAGAGAGCTACGGTGACACAGGTGTCACTTAAAAGCTGAATTCAAAGCAACTGGCTTTACTATCTCAGATCCCTGGTGGACATCTTAGAACTCAAGTATCTTAAGATGTTTTGTGAGTCAATAGCCAATGATATTATTTGAAAAAAGGGCTCACTCCTAGATATTTTTCATTATCAGGCTCACAGTGTTAAGTGAATGAAGGGTGGGAAAAGAATATTTTCCCTGGTATATAATCAACTAAGGCTTATATAATAGTGTTCACTGCCATTGGAAATAAGCACTGAACATGTTTCTACTAACAAAGTACATGTATCTTTTATTCCTTTAGTAAATCCAACTTTAGCATTCTAGCCAACATTTGTAGAAATATAAACCTTTAGTTAAATCACAGAAAGATCCAATATCTATATTTCATTAAAATCTTTTTTTTCTTTATTATATTCAAACCAATGTGCATCATAAAATGCTTAATGATTAGTTTCTAGGCACAGATTTCTAGCTTACATTATAATTCATTCTTTATGTAACTTTCCCTTCATTAGTTTTATCAGAGTTTCCAGAAATTCTGCTTTTGAAACTTACATTCGGGCTCCTCTGAGGAGTTCCTCCACAGGTCTTGGTGTTCCAGCACGTGAATGGCTTGTGCTGATGGGGTGAAGGGTGCGTGGTGGGGGGTTTCGTCTCCTGACGGACTGCACTGTATATGACAAAGATGATGTACTGAGCTCCAGGGCTCGATTTGGCCAGTTTCGGCTTGAAAGGATGGTACTGGACCCAGGCCTCAGAAGTAGCTTGTCATCAAGATCTCTAGTAGCCAAATCAGATACCCACAATGTAATAAACATCATGATGTACAGAGAAACAGTGCTCAATACATTCAAAGAAAAAAGGTGAAAATAAAGCCTTGGAATAATTAACCTATCTCCTGAAGGTTAAAGCCAGATTAACCTAATCTGGTTTAGGCACAAGAATCATAAGTAATTTACAAGAATGGAAATTTGGGGAAACAAGTAGTTCTTCACCTGACACCAGTCAAATTCTCAGGCACAGGGCAGTGTAAACTGAAGTGAGCTATGAGCTTACCAGGGACTGAAATTTCTGTCATCGGAGGCATTCTTTTCTTTTCAAGTGAAGTAACATATAACTTCATTTACATGACATTCAAGGATACATTAAATTATAGTCAGTAAACATAACAATGGTTGCTATAAATTTGAAGAGAGTTGAATAGGAGAAGCCTGTCTGATTATTTAGCGGACACTGAAACGATTCTTTCTGGTGTGTAATAATGGCTTATTACAGTCTATTGTTAGGTGCCATCCAGTCGGTTCCAACTCATAATAAACCTAAAGCAAGACAGAATGAAACACTGCTGGTCCAGCACTCTCCTCAAAAGTGTTATGCTTAAGCCTATTGCTGCTATCGCTGTACCAATGTCGTGGAGTTGGTTCCGACTCATAGCGATCCTGTACAGGGTTTCCGAGGCTGTAAATCTTTACGGGAGCAGAAAGCCTTTTTCTCTCATGGAACAGCTGGTAGTTTCAAACTGCTGACCTTGAGGTAGGCAGCCCAATTCGTACCCACTACGCTACTAGAGCTCCTTTCCTGGTGTGGCGCTATGGGTTAATGCGCCAGATGGCAAAGCTGTTTGAACTGCAAGGTCAGTGGTTCAAACTTACCAGCTACTCCTTGGAAACCCTATAAGGGTCACTATGGGTCAGCACTGACTTGAAAGCACTTTTTTTTTTTTTTCCTTTACCTCGGCAAGGCAAAATTTACTTCTGCAGAAGGGTGCACGTAGCTATCCAGAAACAGGCTAGTGAGCACACTGGTCAGGTAGTCGGCTCGGGTTTTTATCCCTGCTGTGAGTCTTTTTTTTTATGATTTATTGTGAGTTATGTGATAATATACATGGGAGAATATTAGTTTTACATTCATTCTATCGTATATCGTCTCATTGCCATGGTTACAATTCCCTCCATGCAATCCTTCCCCCGTTTCCCCCCAGGTCTTCAGCACACAGTCTCTCTCCCTCTCTGGGTCTAGAGTCTCCAGCTGCTCCATCGCTCCACGTCATCATCTCTGGCTCCATTTCAGGCATCACTGCTTCTCTGGGTAGGGTCCCGCTCTCTGCTCTTCT